ATATTTATTGTTAATTTGAAGTAGGTAAATATATGACTAAATAATCATGTTATACCTACAAGTGTATATTTTATAATTCTGTTTAAAACTACCAGGTAAATACGTATATTGCATTCGCAGTACCTACACATAAATCGCACATGGTTTGAAACATAACTTTTATCATGTTCAACTATCATTAATTAAATTTACACATAAATGTCGTCTGAACCCTTTTTACACAAAACCCCTTGATTATGACCAAACACTGTACCCGTGTAATAGGCAAAAATTACTTTTTAAAGCATTTCTGTTTGGAGTAAAATATAATTTAATCGATCCATAATTTATATAATACTTATTGTGACCTTTTGGAAAGGTACATCAAAAAACATAATTGAAGAACGCTGTATAAACTTACCATATAAATGTTAAAATTCAAACAAATAAAAATTAAATTAATTTCCTGGCAGTAATTACTACTCAATTAATTATTACACCGTTTCTAAAAAATAACACTATAAAATAGGTGTTTTATATTTAGGTATTTATATAGAATCATATATTCTCTTTAAATATTTCATCGATATGTAGTCAATATGGAGTTAGCTTGGTCTATTATTATAAAAGGTGTGTTATTTCTGATTACATATAATTTATAAAAACCAAGTTTTATTATCTTTCCAGTCAATTTAATTTTTTGTAAATTACATTTCGTACAAGAATGGAAAAGTAATAGAATTACTATTATAATCATTTTTGAAATGACCATATCTAATGTATATCATTTTTTCTTGGTATTTTATCAACACGCCTTTCGAGAAGTTGATTCATAATAGTTGAAAGATTAAAATATGTTAGAATTTTGAAAGAAATTGTTATATCTATGAGGTACCTATCTGGCTATCTGAAAAATGCGCCGTGGACAATGGTGTAATTATGATTGCCTGTTTACAACGCCGCCAATCATAATTTTACGATTTCAATAATATTCCATTAAAACAAATACAAAAATAATAGTTTTGCATATTTATAATAAGCTCATACGTTCGTGGTTTGTTTTATATAAATGTGTGCGTGTGGTTAAAATTACAACTTACTTGTTTGTATATTATTATAAATTATAATAATAATATAATGTATATCCACCTTTATACAAAATATTTACAAAAAAGGGGGAAATACGTAATCACTCTGCTATACATTAGGTTTAGAGTGTACCTCGTCATTGAATAAGTCACTATATACGTAATAAGTTTGTTAATCTATTGAATTCAATAATAAATCATTACATTCGAAAAACGATTCTGAGCGAAGACGGTCCGTCAGCATATAAGTATGTTAAATATTGCTACTTTATTTATTTATTTTACCATCATTAATTGTTGTTAAAAACATCGCATATTAAAATGTCATTATGTGTATTGTGTATAAAATATAATAATATATATTAAAAGTGTTGAGTGCCCAATAATAATATTTTTAAACTACAGCAAAGTATAATTAAAATCGTTATAGGTACTTCTTCGTTTTATCGTTTAAATATTACATTTTCTCCAAAGTTGAACTTAAAATGTCCATAAAAAAATATTGTGTATATATTCTTTTTAGATTCTTTTGTTACAGTATTAACAATTTATGAGGAACCTTGTAATACATTTTTAAACTTTAGTAATTAATATTAAAAATTATATGAATTTATAAAGTAAAATTTTCAAAATTCCAACTTTAAACGTTTATAAACAATATAGCGATTATGTATTTTTGATGATATTTTATAGTTACTTATGAGGAAACTTGTATTACATTTTTAACATTTTTGAAGGAGCAAACAATTGTTTATAGAAGACATATATTGAAGAAAAATGTCAAATGCTAATAAATAACTCAAAAAGAGTCAAAATACTTTTTTAAATGTTATTATGTATAGAAAATTCTAGTAAACTCTAGGCAATTTTAATTGTTTACAGTAATTCATTTTTTAGTTATACCAAAAAAATAAAATAAATTGTGTTGAAAAATTCCCGTTTTTATCCCCGATTATTTTGTAAAATATTTGAAATTTTTTACTTTTAATACCCAATGTACCAACTAGATCTAACTTCCTATTAGAAACCACCTTTGAAGTTGAAAATCCAATCACTTTTTCTACTAGAAAAATAAGTGTCTTCAGAAACAAAAAAAAAATGCATATCATTTTAAGATCAATATATTCATCGCTCCGCTCAGAATCTAAAAACGATTGTTAAATTTTTGAAATCAATTTTTATCAATTCTAAACTTAATTTATTAGATTTTTCTATAATAGGCGCACAATCAGCCCGAAGACAAAGTTTGGCAAAACTACATAACTTGCCACTTGAAGCGCCTATCACGAAAGTAATATCATTGATATGTACCGCTCAAGAAAACTCAAACGACCAAGTCGTACAAATTTTGGATAAGGTACGGATTTCAGATTGATGTTGCTTTATTATTGACGTACAATGAAAAATACAAAATGTATACAATATTATAGGTTGTTGATATATTGCGTGTCACTGAACTATACTCGTCACATTTAAAAACCGAAAATATCAAATACGATGATCCCGTTACGTCAGATTTAATCGGAGCTCTTATTACGGTACTGTTTTTTGACAAAATAATAACTGTGTTAACATCCATTGTAAATATATAATACTAGATAATATGTATAATGATGTTTTATTTTTTTTCATTTTAGCAAGGGCCTGTGCACGTGACATCCACTCGAAGAAGCTCTAATGATTCAGCGACTGTTAAGAGTCAGCCTTACGGTTTGGGTATTGCTAAAATGAATTTTATGACAAGTGTCACTCCTCAAATCAAAGAACTCTTAGACATGTCTCTGTATTGGGATTTCAACGTGTTTAAGCTCGAAGAACTTACTATGAAAAGGTGACGGATACTTAAATGTTTTTAATTACCATGATAATTGATAACTATTTTGGCCAACATTTTCATAAAATTCATTCCTTGGTCACGTTGGATCTACTATATTTACCTATATTTACGAATCGAATATTTTTTTAGTTTTAAAACTCGAATGCTGTAAAATATACCAATAAAGGTCCCCCCTCGCCCACCTTAGGAATAAATAATAAATAAAATTTTTTCTTTTTAGTATATTTTAGCGATACAAGTAGCATGCAACCAAATACCTAATACTTTTGCTAGGTGCATCATATTTGTCGTATTATATTTTTTTTTTCCTATAAACATAATATAGTACCTAGGTATCAATAATATTTTTTTGTACTTTATTTTCAATTTAAATAAAAAAAAAAAAACATTAGTTATTCTTACTTTTAGGCCTTTGGTACATCTGGGAATGAATCTACTGACACACTTTGAAGTACACAAAACATTAGGTTGTGATGAACGAACATTGCACGCCTGGTTAACTGTGATCGAGGGCCATTATCACGCTAAAAATACTTACCACAACTCTACACACGCCGCCGACGTTCTTCAAGCGACCGCCATGTTCTTGGAAAAAGATCGCATAAAGAGGCTTTTGGATCAATTGGACGAGGCATGCTGTCTGATCGCCGCAATCACACACGATATTGATCATCCTGGAAAATCTAGGTTAGACCACACCAAAACCAAACTTAAACCATTTGGCAATGTGATGATGTATTATTTTTTCATTAGCGCGTTCTTATGTAATTCCCAAAACGATTTGGCTATCCTGTACAACGACATAAGCGTTTTGGAATCGCACCACGCCGCTTTAACGTTTAAGCTCACTACCAAGGACGAACGGTTGAACATTTTTAAAGGTACGTATTTTGGCTGATGTCCAAATTTAGTTTACTCAGAAAAATAAAAATGCATTTAGGTCTGGAAAAGGACACTTATAAAGTGGTGAGGCAGAACATTATCGACATGATATTGGCCACCGAGATGACGAAACATTTCGAACATTTAGCTAAATTCGTGAGCGTCTGTAACAAACCATCGACACTCGACGAAGCGCCCGTCGATGGATTAGTAAGTAGAACCGATAACACTATCAACATCATATTTTACAACTGAATTATATGCCTTTACGATAATGAACAAAGCTAATAAGATAAAATCATGTTAGACTCCTAGCGAAGTAAGTCCTGAGGCTATAATGCCTACTAGTGCCGAGGAAATAAATCTGGTGAAGAGAATGTTAATCAAATGCGCAGACGTGTCCAATCCGACTAGACCACTAAAGATGTGCGTGGAATGGGCCAAACGAATAGCCGAGGAATACTTTAATCAAGTATGAGAACGCTTCTTATATTATGTTAAAAATATATTCTTATTTAAAGAGAATATTTTGTGTAAAAACAAAGTATTTAAATATAATATGTAGGTACCTAATGTCTTGGTACCTATATTGTACCCAAGTAAATTGGAACGTACCTACCAACACGATAAATCCCAACCTCTGTTTTTGTGCGCACTGCGTAGTACCTACGACAAAATATCGCAACATAGCGTGCAATACAAAAATGCAAATATGTAGCACGGATTTTAAGTGTGTAGGTAGCCATAAATTTCTTAGAAAGTGTTTATAAATTCGCAGCCCTCTCCACCCTACAAGTATGATTGATGCATATAAAAAATGCAGTTCTATTTTTTTTCAAATATGGAAATATAATATTTTATCCTCTTATACATTAATTATGTATGTATGTTTAGTTAATTTATAGTTATTTTTTTATGAATGTTAATAATAGAACAATTTTTTCTCGGTAAAAATATAAAAAAATATATATCATGTGATATATTAAGATGCATTTTAAACTATTTATACCACAATCCTATTCACATACTGTTCTAAAGTAAGTACCTACGTCGGTATTTACTTATTAGTGATACGAATAATATAATATTATGATAGGTACATTGTTATAATATCATTATAATATAATAAATTGTGTTATTATTGTACTAATATAGTACCTAATATAAATAAATATTAAAACATTATTAGAAAATAATTGCACCCTTTACCACCCTAATTTTGCTATATAAACTACAATTTAAAGAATACACAAAGCTTGTTGATAAAAAAAAAACGTAATCTTCAATACCTATTTTTAATGCATTACTTAATAAAAATTAAAAATCTTTCTAATATGTGTTCATTTTTGTTTTTAGACTGACGAAGAGAAACTCAATCATTTGCCAGTGGTGATGCCAATGTTTGACCGAGTGTCTTGTTCCATACCAAAATCGCAAATCGGCTTCATGGACTACATAATAAACGATATGTTTGAGACGTGGGACTGTAAGTACATAGGTTGAATCGCATTTTTTGCATTAACATCAATAATCAATAATTCTTAGAAATTATATAATGGATTTAAAATATCAAATTTTTGTTCATAAAAATATATTTTAGTTTTCTAAACTTACCTATTTTATAATGATCAATAAAATAAGGGCTGTCGTTAAAATTAATTTTAAGGAAATTTCCTGCTGCAATAAATTGCTCTATACTAAGGCTTTCTGATGTATTTTATCTAAGTTGGTAATTAGTCTGTCATAGACGCATAATTTTATATTATGTTATTTCATATTGACAATTACAGTGAAAAGATTCAGAATAGCTATTAAAATTCAGAAAACATTTATTTTATTTTGATAGTTTAATTGATTTCTTAATTGTTATTTGTTCAACATTTTTTGAGCGGCCTAAGCACCCCTATCCACCTTATTTTCACCTACGAGTAGGTTTGATTATTTGAACGGATAATATCTGTAGTTCAATAGCTGTTGTTAGAATATATTGTATTAATATAATAATTATTGTATTTTTCAGCTTTCATAGACATGCCAGAGATGTTGTACTACATGAGGAGCAACTATCAATACTGGAAGGATCTGGAAGAAAAAGGAACGATCAGCATTAACGATATTTGCAAAATGATGACTACCACCTTGCCAAAGATACCAGAGTCCAGTGGCAACCACTAAGAAAATTATTGTAGTCTTCCTACAAACTGCTGAGTCCACCGTTGTACTGGACATATAATAGTCGACGGATAATAATATTTTTCAATCTATTGTCCGGTAACTGTCCGGTACGAAATTTGTCCGACGATCGATGTTACATAGTGGAAATATTGTTTTATAAGAATATATTTTTCTTTTCGTATCCACAGAACATTTGAGTAAAAATAATAAACCTATATGCAATATTTTATCTTTATGTATATAAAATACATAATATACTTCTATTTAACTAGTGTACATTGTATATACTATTACCTTCAAATTGAGCAGGTTTTTTTTATTATTATTATCATAATGATTATTGTTTTATCGTCTTTGATAAATTATGTAAGTTATACTTATACGCTATTTTCTGCGTTTTATTATAGAATGTCTTCGGTTTACGTAAAATCGAATTTAAATACTATTCGGTGTTAATAAATTATTATTATACGTTATAATTTTTTTTAGCATATAGAATTTTCGCCAATACTTAAGGTACCTAAAATATTATCACGGTAAATATTATTTTTGTTACCATTAAGATTAACTAAAGACTATTAATATTATTATACTTTATACTACTTACTTTGTTGTATTGTAAAAATATATATATATAAATACCATTATATTTGCAAACGTTTGGGCGCTTCCTGTTCGTATGTAATATGTGGTTGTTGACAAAAAAATTTAGATTTTGTCTGTACACAACTAAGGTTTACAAAATATGAGATTTAGTCGATCTTGTACATTATGTTGCATATCCAAACACCTTAGTCACTCAACATATTTTACTATTTTCATCGTTATGAGTTTATGACATTACATATTATACACATTAAAAATAATGTTATAAATATTTTGAATTCTTTCCACTCGTGTTGGCTTCAATTTCATAATCTATCAAAATGCTGAGTTCAAAAATAGATTAAAATTATTATGTTATCTTCTATTGCTGTTTTATAAAATATACACGAGCCCCCTTCTCATCCATAATTCAAAAACACGAATTATCTCGCTAACCTTTTCTATTTTAAGTATTTTTACATTTCAACAATGTACTTATTGTTTTACAATTAGTAATACTACATTTAATATGTTATAATATATGTATTTACTATAATAATACTATAAATCCCATATAAAATATTTAACTGAATTATTGTATAGCTTTTGTACATAGTTATAAAGGCAAACCCAAAATGTAAGTATTAAAATTAAAACAATTAAAAATATATTCTTATTGTTATCTTATACCTTGTAAATATTGGTGGAATAATTATTGTTCATTAAAACACATGATCAAAGTCATTACCGGTTACCACTTACCTATAGTCTATAATGCACAATAAATATAATATTATAACATGGTATTTAAGGACTGGATGTACACTGAAATGATCAAGTTGTATTTTACCTAAATAAACTACTTAGTTAATTATAGTGACTTCACGATTATCTTATGTAGGTAGGTACGCATTGTACACAATATATATGTATAATAAATAATAAGATAAACAACTTTTTTTTTGTTCAACAAAATATAATATTATTTTACATAATTGTAAGCTTTGAAATATTGTGTTTTAATAACTTTAGTATGAAAATAACTATTTACACTATATCATTCTTCATTGTATACTTTATGATTAAAAGTCTAAGAAACTTACCAATACTATAAATTATTGCGTATTGATTTTGTTTGTTTATGCAGACTTAGAGTATATTATGACTATTTTCGTTAAAATATATTAATTTTCTATTGGAAAATTAATATTTTATGTTTTAGTTACTGAGCAGTAGTGCTCAACGCATTGTCACAACAACTGAATGGGTAACCAAAAATAAACAATTAGGTTACTTAATATTCGAATTCCTATTGAAAGCAAACATCTGAACGAAGGCAATAAGACATCGATAGCTTAAGAATGTTAGGTACCTATAATCATTTAACATTTGTGCAATACCTATACTGTAAATTATACAGTATAACATTATTATTAAATGTTGTTAGAGAAGAAGTCATTTTATTATTGTTATTATTGCAAACTATGGCTTCTTAGTTCTTAGTTCATCAAACAAGCAAATAAAATTTCGTTAAAATAGGTAGGTACTTATTATATGGTTATTGAATCGCTGAAATAGTGGCCATCCTGTTATTACTTGATACACATCGTGTTCAATGTGTGTGGGGTATTGCATGTACAGCAAATTTCGTGTTTTGTAAATATTGAGATGGATCATAATATAGATCAGGGGTCAGCAATTAGTATTTTTGGAGGGCCACATTGGGAATTTTGAAAATTTTCGGGGGCCATCAAAATTCCAAGCAAATATTCTTAACTTATTATAGTATAATGCAAAAGTAACATGGTGGCCTAGTGGAAATAAAATAATAATTACCTAATTAACTAAATTGAAATAAAATGAAGTACAAATTAATAATAAATTTAATATAAATAGAAAATTGGGTTAAAATTATTGGGGAAAATGGCAATACTTGCTCTCAACTAACTGCATATGCACTTTGGTGTATGATTCGTACGCTTAATATTTTATATGCAGGTTCACAATTTTTGATTTACGAAGATCACAAATTACTGGAAATTTTTTGGCAATTGATTTATGTGAAGTCTCATCATAACGTTTAATATTGAAAACTTTAAAAACAGCTACTGTCTTGTACTGCCTTGGTGGCAAATAAAACAAACTGGCAAGGCCCTTGGTATAATACCTATACACTTTATTATTGGTTTTTACTTTTCTTTCATTATCTGCGGATAAAATTAGGCAGTATCCAGCCCGCGGGCCGCCATTTGGTGACCGCTGATATAGATAATACATGTCCATCGTTCACCTAGAACATTTTTTTAGGATGCACCTAAGCACTATAATAACACAAAATACATCATAAACAATAAAAATGTATTTATTTTAGATCCAGCTTTAGTAATATTATGAAAACATTATCTGTGATACTGTAAATAGAACAAATACATTAATATAAGTCATATTTTATGTAGATATTCATTTCTTATTTTTTTAAATGTTTTTTTACACGTTCAGTGCCTATCACCTGCATAAAGCTAATGTTATTTATTGTTACCAAAGTTTCAGAATACTTTGGAAATCATACACTGTTGATGTACTCAAAAAAAACATTAATACAATATCATTGACGGTTGTTATTGAGTATTTATAGTTATTAGCGAGTTTTAATTTGAAATCTAGGTATATTTGATCAACCAATTTCCTAATTAATATTTTTTTTAAATTTTAACAAGTTTGATATATTTAAACTGTAGGTCAGATTACTTGAAGGTTCTTTATAAGTATATAACTATAATAACCTTAAAGGACATTTTTTTTTAAATACAAATGTAACTATATGTATCTTATCCATTGACATACTTCATAACAAATCACTATAACGAGGTATATATTTTTTTTTAAATGCAATTTATAATTACAAATATTGAAAAAAAAAATTATGAAAATTGCATTGGTTTCTCCAAAACTTGGTTATGTTAGAGGCTGATAAAACTATGGGAAATGGACTGCACCATTTCTCTGTTTTTCGATGCTAAAAGAAATTTATCGAAGTGCAACCAATTAACATAGGCATACATTTGATTAATTTTGTTTTTGAATTATTGTCTTATTATTTGTTTTAAAATTAAAAGGTTTAAAATTTGTCGAATAAGTTTCACAAAAATAGAAAGTTACCTTGAGTATAGCCTCGAAACAGTAATAGTTTTAAGTTAAATTATAAACTTTTTTTTTTTTTGATTTTAGACATAAAATGTGATAATAACTGTTGTACGTTACCTGTATAATATACGAATTTACAATAACATATTTTATCATCACACAGTACCTACAACAACTAACAATAGGTAATTACTAATTACTGATAACCTTGCGTTACCTATCTGTCGTAAACTATAAATTAAACTCAGTATTCACCGCTTGGAAACTGACAATATAAGCTTTAAAAAATCGATATTTCCACACGCGTTCTATTGCAATTAAAACAAAATTGGTAAATCAATTCTTATCGTTTAATTTCGATTGGGTAGCATTAATTCGTGAAAAAAATCGGGTTCACCTCGAAGAGAACAACTTTTGAAAAACTCGTACTTTTTTCCCTGTTCAGGCGTTTCGTCGGTTTGGCTTGAAAATCATAATAATAATATACATTTTTAATACGGACCGCGGACAAAATTATCCCACAACCGTTTCTCCGGTAAATAAAAACCTGGGCTTTATTTCGATCACGGCGCAGTTTTTACAGTAGGTTTACTGCTATTTCGAACGACGCAATGAACACAATATAATATTGTAATATTTTAACTACCTATATTATTATGGTTTACGCGCCTAAATATATCATGTTGTATAGAATATCATGTACCTAGGTAGATGTGCCGGAAAACGGACGGTATCGTGTCGCGTCGTAGGGGTCGATGCCGAACTAGGTCGAAGCGATTTACCACGCCGAGACGCCGCGCCGCTAAAACGAGCAGCACCAGAAGACGTAAAATAATATATAAATTACAATATATTATTATTATTTTTTACTATACGAGGGCCGCCGTGTATTAGATGGCCGCCGCCCGACCTAGTAACCCGATTCGACGGTGATCGCGACCACAGACGGAATAACATATCGGAAGTGTACCTATACACACAAGTTCCACCCATAACCTAGGTCATATGCAGTCAAGATGCTTTTAGGTATATCGACGACACGACTCCTGATCCTGCAGCACCTAAATACCCCTGCAGTCGCTTCTGATCGTGTCCCTGCTGCAGGTCCTGTTGTCATCCGTACAATTGGTGTAAACTAATAATAATAAATATTAAATGATAATATCATAGCATTCATACCGCTGTAATACAATAATGCCGGTGTATATAAGGTACTATGAATACTAATTTTCTAATGGTGACGCCGTCCTGTGCGTATAATATAATATTAT